GAGCTGGATTAGAAGTGGAACAGCAGGGATCCCAGCTGGGATCCATATGGCACGTTGGTGTCCTGGGCAGAGGCTTAATGTGCTATGTCACAGTGCCAGCCCCTCTTACAAGCTGAAGGTGTTATGCTCACATCGCTGGACTAAATGTCAGGGTGCTGGGTTCTGTGTTTTGTGATCATTATGCCATAGTCTGTTTGACCTTTGAAGCAGTCTCATTGTGGGGACTTCCTGAGATGCAGTGACGAATTTGCTCAGTGAGCTGCCTGGCCGTCTCCCTTGCCTTTGCCTTCCCTAAGTTCCTTCTCACTGGCAGGGACATGAGCTTAACCCTGCAATCTCATGAGTGTTCATGTGCCAGCCACTGTGCCAGGTCTTTCTCATGAATTCCTTGTAATCCTCTGCAGTGGTGTGCAGCAGATGGGAGTGGCATCTGGTGGCTGGAAGTCTGTCTGCTGCCAGCAGGGCTCCCATAGACCCCAGGAGCTCTGAGCTTCTCGCTCTGGTCGGTGTGACGTGTCCTCAGCTGCTTCTCACATGCTTCTCTGCCTTTTGAGTGTAAAACCTGTTGTGTTTTTACTCATGCCTTTCCTGTTTTGTAGATTTTTAATGTTTGCACTTACTTCAGAAGTCTAGTTGGCAAGGAATTGTACTAAATCTTTTTTCTTTCATTGGTTTCCAGAGAAGAGTTAGAAAAAATGAAAAGTGTAATTGAAAATGCAAAGAAAAAAGAGGTCGCTGGGGCCAAGGCTCATGTAACTGCAGCAGAAGGGAAACTTCATAACATGATTGTGGATTTGGATAATGTGGTCAAAAAGGTGTGTTGATTAGCTCAGAAGTTTCATGTAAAGCAATCCTTTCATTGGTAAGAGTTCAAGAAAATAATAAGATTCCTACCATCTCTCCCCTTTTGTCCTTGCAAAGAATGTTACTGTTTTTAAAACCTTGGCTAGGACACTTAAGTGCTGTTTCAGTACTGTTGACAATGTCTGTAATGTGGAACTTTCTTGGTTGTGAGTTACTGCCACTTAGGACTATTGACATGACCCGGAGAAGGATGGAGGGCGTGCGCATGGCCCTGGCAGAGGGATTAGAGCTCCAGACAAGGCGTAACTGCTTTTGCTGAGCTCCAGATGTCTGTCCACACATTCATGCCAGACAGACACACGTGAAGCAGTATCACTTCAGCTGCTCGGAATGTTTGTGTATTTTGTGTTAAGTTTAGCCACATACCCCTTGTCCTTGTGCAGGTCCAGGCAGCTCAGTCGGAGGCTAAAGTTGTGTCTCAGTACCATGAGCTGGTGGTCCAAGCCCGGGATGACTTTAAACGAGAACTAGACAGTATTACACCAGAAGTCCTTCCTGGCTGGAAAGGGATGAGTAAGTACAACTGACGCATTGTTGTTGTTTTAATGATTGTTGTTGTTATTTTAATGACTAATGGGCTAATCTAAGCTTGCTTTAGCTTCTTCATCTAATCCAGACTTTGTAGCAGCCATATTCTGCTACATTGTTGCAACTTTTTATTTCAACCAGAGTGATGACAGATGACACCCTGTGAGTGTATTTTTATTGTTTTAGCTCAAATGAGCATGAGTCCCAGCCAGTGTTTAAATTTATGGTCCACGATCATTACATTCTGATCTCTGCAACTCAAAGTGTGTAATCCAAGGGAGAATGTCATTAGAACCATAACTATGTTTAAAATAATATGTATATAATGCAACCACTGTGAGCATCTTGAAAGCACTAATTAATTGCTTACAGCATACTTTATGACCTCCCAATGGCAACACAGCAGTGCAGGGAGAATTTGTTCTCAGACCCTATAAAGAGAAGGAAATCCTCTTGCAAAAGCTTACACAGCAGAGAACTCTGATGCTGAAGCGGGTAACACCACAAAACAGGAAGAAGTCACATTTGATGTGTGAATGCTACACATAACGGGGATTACCAGTCATGAGAAAATTAAAGTACTGTTTGAATGCTGAAACCAAATTTCTAATGTGGGCTGAAGGTTTCTGGCTTGCATCATGGGAACATACTTGTCCAGATAGCTAAGACAGTAAAGACTAGTGCAGGAGTTCTGTCTGCATCATGGCCAGCTAGGGAAATTGAATGGCGAGGAATAATCAAGACTGACAAAAAAAATAGATATTTTTAATTTTTGTGTTTTCATTTCAGAGCGTTCTTTTGCTGTTTGACTGTAAGTGCCTACAACAGGCAGGGCCGCACCAGAGAGAAGCCAGGAATCCAAGACCCAGTCTGGGTCTCCCATGTGGGCAGGCGAGGACCAAGTTGCTTGAGCTATGTGCTACCTTCCCAGATACACATTAACAGAATAGTGGATTTCAGGTGGACAAACCGGTACCTGAAATAGGCAATCCAGTATGGTGTAGGAATTAAATCTATTTCTTTATTAACTTTTTTTTTAAAGATTTGTTCATTTTTATTACAAAGTCAGATATACAGAGAGGAGGAGAGACAGAGAGAAAGAATTTCCATCCGATGATTCACTTCCCAAGTGACTGCAATGGCTGGTGCTGCGCCAATCCAAAGCCAGGAACCAGGAACCTCTTCCGGATCTCCCACATGGGTGCAGGGACCCAAAGCTTTGGGCCGTCCTCAACTGCTTTCCCAGGCCACAAGCAGGGAGCTGGATGGGAAGTGGAGCTTCTGGGATTAGAACTGGCGCCCATATGGGATCCTGGTGCATTCAAGGCGAGGACTTTAGCTGCTAGGCCACGCCACCAGACCCCTTATTAACTTTCTTATTTGGAAGTCAGAGTGAAAGAGTGAGAACCACCTTTTGGTTTTCTCCTTAAATGACTGCAACAGCCATTAAGCTGAAGCCTTGAGCCAGGAACTCTGTTTGGCCTCCCACAAGAGGGGCAGGAATCCAAAACACTTTAACCATCTGCCACTAACTTCTCGGGTATGTTAAGAGGAAGCTGAATCAGAAGCAGAGTAGGTAGGACTTGAATTAGCGTTAAAGCAGCATCCAGATTGTACCAGATATATTTTTTTTTTCATACTCTCAGATCAGGCAGCTGTAGTTCTTAGCAAAATATGTGTACGTTTAACATAGGTTAAATGTGAGTTTACTATTTGAAAAGTTTTCAAAGGGAAAAAAAAGACTGAAGTGTTAGCAGAAGCTTGGTGCATAGAACATAGTGTCAGAACTATGGGATGTATAAATTAATGCAAATGGGAGGGATCAAAGAAAGTTGTAGTTTCTATTAAAAAAGTCCAAGCTTATTGCTTTGGTGAATGGAGATGAGTCCTGTAAAACAAAAACTACATTCAGTGTCAAGGATTGTTTTGTTTTCTGAAATGTTAGAATTTATCTATTGTTTTGTAGTCTACTTCTATTACAGGAAGTGTACTGTTACTTTCTTTGTGATACAAAATACACATTTCCTTGGTGCTTCTAGTTTGTTTGAATGTTACCATAAAATAATCAATTGTTTAAGCATTATGTACTTAAAAAATACCTGTTCTTTTCCTTTGTAGGTATCTCTGACCTCGGTGAGTAACCATTTTTGTTATGTATACAGACTTTTTTAAAACAAGCTATTTCTGTGAAAGATGGAGTTGACAGGAGGGGAGAGGTTGAGGGTTTGCAGGGGTGTTGATCTTGCATACTGTATTTCATTTGTCATTTGACCACAATGGCCAGGGCTAGGCCAGGCCAAGCCAGGGGCCCAGAATTCTATTCAAGTCTTCTGTGCAGCTGGTAGAGGCCCAAGTATTTAGGCCATCTCCTACTGCCTTCTCAGATACATTGGGAGCTGGATTGGAAGCAGAGCAGCCAAGTATTGAACTGTTGCTAATACGAAATGCTGCAAACATTGCAAACAACAGTATAATCTGCTGGTGCCTCAGCACCAGCCCCAAGCCTTTTTAAAAAAGGATTTATTTAAAGTATTTATTTATTTTTATTGAAAAATCAGATATACAGAGAGGAGGAGAGACAGAGGGAAAGATATTACATCTGCTGATTCACTTCCCAAGCAGCCGCAACTGCCACAGTTGAGCTGATCTGAAGCCAGGAGTCAGGAACCTCTTCCAGGTCACCCACACGCATGCAGAGTCTGAAGGCTTTGGGCTGTCCTCAGCTGCTTTTCCAGGCCCTAGGCAGGGAACCAAATGGGAAGTAGGGCAGCTGGGACTAGAACTGGTACCCATATGGGATGCTGGCGCATTCAAGGCAAGGACTTTAACCATTAGTCTACCATGCTGGGCCCTATTTATTTATTAATTTTTTTGGAAAGGCAGATTTACAGTGGAGGAGACAGAAGATCTTCCATCCATTGGTTTACTCCCCAACTGGCCACAATGGATGCAGCTGAGCTGATCTGAAGCCAGGAGGCAGGTGCCTCTTCTGGGTCTCTCATGCAGCTCCAGGGTCCCAAAGCCTTGGGCCATCCTCTACTGTTTTCTCAGGCCACAAGCAGGGAAATAAATTGGAAGTGGAGCAGCCAGGACACAAACTTGTGCCCATATGGGATTCTGGCACTTGCAGGCAAAGGGTTAGTGAACTCATTGTGTCAGTCTCCAGCCCCAAGTGGTTTTTCTTTTTTTTCTTTTTTTAATGTTATGAAGCTGAAGTCTCTTGTTGTACCTATGATTCTTATGCCTAAGCTATCAAAATACTAAGTTGTATGTGATAAATCTCAATAGAATAATTTGGGCTTCCATAGAAACAAAAATTGTTTCAAGTGATTGGAAACCAATGGATAGGAGAATTTCAAACATTGCAAAGTAGGAAGAAAGCTGTAATGAAGTTCCATGAACCTGTCATGGAAGTGAAGCCATTATCATACATGACCAGTTTTTTCTTACCTGTTCACCCTCTCCACCAGCTGATGCAGAAACCCCAAACACCGTATCCTTTCACTTGTAAATACTTTTGTTCAATTTCAGAGATTCATTTCATTTATTTAAAAAGTTAGAGATGGGGAGAGACAGAGAATCCTCCTGCTGGTTCACTTACCAAACAGTTGTAACAGCTACAGCTGGGCCAGACCAACCCCAGGAGCATGGAGCATCTTCTGGGCCTCCTACTTGGTGCAGGAACCTAGGCACTTGGTCCGCCTTCCTCCTGGGGTCTGCATCTGCAGGAAGCTGGAGTCAGACCAAAGCACTCCAGCGTGCGCTGCAGATGTCCTTACTGCTGGGCCAACTGTCCACCCGTCCTTTCTTCACTGCAATCAAATTACAAGCAGTGTAAACAAATGACCTTGGTGATGTAGAATTTTGGTGGGATCGTAGACTTTTTTACATGGTGTTCTGTCTTATTTAGCTGACAAGCTCTCAACCGATGACCTGAACTCTCTGATTGCTCATGCTCATCGTCGTATTGACCAGCTGAACCGAGAGCTGGCAGAGCAGAAAGCCACGGAGAAGCAGCACATTGCGTTAGCCTTGGAAAAACACAAGTTGGAAGAGAAGCGGGCATTTGACTCTGCAGTGGCAAAAGCACTGGAACATCACAGAAGTGAAATAGAAGCAGAACAGGAAAAAAAGGTAGAAGAAACAAGGCTTACACACAATGTGACTAAAATTTAATACTAAGTCACTGACTTTAAGATACTAGATGTTGTTCAACCAGTGGTTATGAATGGCATACTAATGTTAATGATCTGTGGTTATTTTAAAATTTATTTTCAAAAAATTGTGAATGGCATTGAAGGAAAATTTCTTCCTAATATTAACTATTCCCAAACAAAGGAGAACAGAAACTAGCTTATTCTTTTAAATATTTATTGATTTTTTTTTATTACAAAGATATACAGAGAGGAGGAGAGACAGAAAGAATTTCCATCCGATGATTCACTCCCCAAGTGGCTGCAACGGCTGGTGCTGCGCCAATCCAAAGCCAGGAACCAGGAACCTCTTCCAGATCTCCCACACGGGTGCAGGGACCCAAGGCTTTGGGCCGTCCTCAACTGCTTTCCCAGGCCACAAGCAGGGAGCTGGATGGGAAGTGGAGCTTCTGGGATTAAAACTGGCGCCCATATGGGATCCCGGCTTGTTCAAGGCGAGGACCTTAACCATTACGCTATTGTGCCGGGCCCAGTAGCTAGCTTATTTTAAAAAAATAAAATGCCAAGTCTAAGTGCTGCCAGCCTGCCTGGTGTCTTCCTCTTGGGAAGGCTGGGCTGGCAGGGTTTGTTTTGTGTTGAGCTGGTGCCGGAATGTACAGAAGCAGGGCTTTCAAGTAGGTCTAAGCCCTTGTGCTATATTAGGTCGGAGATGGATTATAATTGGTTCTATCTCAGGCACTCTTACATGGTGTGTGGCTGTACTAAGAAACAGCTTAATCTGTGCCACAGCATTTAGCCCTGTTTATATTAAATGTGTGGAAAGGAAAAGAGGCTGGAAAAAGCTTCACTCTAAGGAGCCCTTTTTTTGAAAGGTCTACTTTTTTGACTATTTTAGCTTCCTCCTTTTAAACAGGGGCTGCCTCAGTGATGCGACCCACTAATCCTCTACCTTGTAGCACTGGCATCCCATATTAGTGCTGGTCAATGTCCCAGCTGCTCCACTTCTGATCTCTGGGAAAGCAGCAGGGGATGCTGAAGTCCTTAGATGCCGGCACTCATGAGGGCAGCCTGAAATGCTTCAGCTTGGCTCTGGCCATTGCGGCCATTTGGGGAGTGAGCCAGCAAACACCAAGATCTCTAACCTGAACACTATTGCTTCTGCTTCTAAAGATACAGCAAACACTGCTGGTGTGGGGCTGGCACTTGGTGTAAATATGCACTGAATGAATTCACTGATTCATGATGTTTCTGAGAAAAGTTCTGAATTTTAGATAATAAACATTCAATTAATTGTAATAGACCTTTGGTTGCTATTGTACAAGATATAATTGAACATTTCTGGTTTGATTTGGCCCGTGCTGAGAATCTGAATTCATTTAGAAAAAGCAGTTCCAGAGTACTTTGTGTAGAAGAAACTGTTCAGTAGCTGCTTAATAAGTACTTCATTTTCTTAGAAGTCTTTAGATTGGCATTATTCATACATGAGAAAACGAGATAGATCCTTGTGTTGAAGCTAGCTTTGATCCCAGTCTGTAGTTTTGCACTTTTAAACTAAGTTTTTAAATAGGCTGCTTTTTGGGAGCCTGTGTTTTATGGCAGACCAGAGATGAAAGCCAGAGCTGGGCCAGGCTGAAGCTGTGGCAACTGTACCTAGGTCGTCTCCCACATGATGGCCGACTTTCAGCGCTTTCCTAGGCACATTATCTGGTGGCTGAACTGGAAGCCCAGTAGCCAGGACTGCAACCTGGGCTCCCATGCAATACTGGTATTGCAGCTGGCAGCTGAACTCACAGCATAACAGCAGTCCCCAAAATGATTGTTGCCACAGCTATGTGACCACTTTGAGGGCAGAATGCAAAACACGTACATATGCCTCACACACCATAAGAGTTCAGGACGAGGAAGCTGATGTTCCTGGCTTTCGCTTTTGCAGTGTATGTGGAGCATCGAGCAGTAATGACTGCTGTGCTTGGTTTCACAGGTCGAGGAGGTGAGGGATGCCATGGAGAATGAAATGAGAACCCAGCTTCGCCGCCAGGCAGCTGCCCACACTGATCATTTACGGGATGTCCTTAGGGTTCAAGAACAGGAACTGAAGAATGAATTTGAGCAGGTAAAGACCAGTTGGCAAAGAACCCTCTCCACCTCCTTTTCCACCCTCCTGCATCAATACTGCCTGGCTCGCCTTTCCCTTCGAGGCACTGTGAAGATGTCAAACAACGGGAAAAGTTTCCAGGCTGTAGCCAAGGAGCATTTGCGTATCAGCTGTCCCTTTTCACATGATGATGTTACGTATATTTGCACAGATGTATTTCATGTGTATGTACTTTTTTAATTCACAGCAAGCCACAGTACTTTATACTCCTAACTGGTATCTACTCAGCAAGTTATTTACAAGAACACTTTATTCTGTTTCGCGAGAATGTAATTTATAACCATCTTCCAGAAAATACAAATTTATACCAGTATGAAAAGCTCTATTGGATGGATTTTTCTAGAGGTAAAAAAATGATTCAGAGAGCTATGAATATAATTACTAGAGTTTTAACATTGTTGAAGCTGATAATATTTCTGAATTCAACACAGTCAGGAAAATTTTTTCATGGCAGCTGTAACATAGCAGCAGATGCTCTCTTGGCCTCACGAGGCAGCAGTTGCTGAAGACGTCCGTCCAAGGAAGCGACTTGCCAAGGAGGCGTCATTTTTCTGTGCACTGTTTTATTCCAGGACCTGTCTGAAAAGCTCTCTGAAAAAGAATTAGAGTTTCGTCGTCTCAGCCAAGAGCAAGTTGACAACTTCACTCTGGATATAAACACTGCCTATGCCAGATTGAGAGGAATTGAACAAGCTGTTCAGAGTGAGTACTGCACCTTAGGATAACTTCCAGTTATTTAATACAGATAATAGGGGGTATATGCACTAGTGTAGTGTCAAAAGGAAATCAAAGGCATTGTGCAACCTTTTCTTTGCTTGGAAAACTGACCCCAAGTTACTCTTTGCATGACAACAGTTTTCCCACCCCCCTCACACCTTGGTTGTGTGTGTCATGTTGCCCTGTGCTTGCCTTCCACAGAAGCTGGAAGGTTCTCCCAAGATGGACAGTAGTTTTGCTGAGGCCTGCATAAGCCATATTGAAGGATGCTCACAAAACAGATTTCCCTGAGATGTAAAATATTTTTTCCTCAGGAAGGCTTAATGATCATGGACTTGAACATGAAGTCTTCTACTGATGGGTCTCTATACATGTCTGATAAATGACTTCTGTGCTCAGACATCTTTGCAGTTTTTTGACTTTGTAAAAACAGATCAAATTGTATTCTGCCTTAGTGCCTTGTGAGATGAGGCCAGCTAGGAAACAATTTCCCCCAAGTGGTTGGATAAGATTGGGCCCTTTCTGGAATCTAGGAATCCTTCATGTTTTGCCTTTTGTTCTTGTTTCAGGTCATGCAGTTGCTGAAGAGGAAGCCAGAAAAGCCCACCAGCTGTGGCTTTCAGTGGAGGCACTGAAGTACAGCATGAAGACCTCATCTGCAGACACGCCCACTGTGCCGCTGGGTAGTGCAGTGGAGGCCATCCGAGCCAGCTGTTCAGATAATGAGTTTGCCCAGGCCCTAACTGCAGCCATCCCTCCGGAGTCACTGACTCGTGGAGTGTACAGTGAAGAGACCCTGAGGGCACGTTTCTATGCTGTTCAGAAACTGGCCCGACGGGTAGCGATGATTGACGAAACCAGAAATAGCTTGTATCAGTACTTCCTCTCCTACTTGCAGTCCCTTCTCTTATTCACACCTAAGCAGTTGAAGCCACCAGCGGAGCTGTATCCTGAGGATATCAACACATTCAAGTTACTGTCATATGCCTCCTATTGCATTGAGCATGGTGATCTGGAGCTGGCAGCAAAGTTTGTCAACCAGCTCAAAGGAGAGTCCAGACGCGTGGCACAGGACTGGCTGAAGGAAGCCCGCATGACTCTAGAAACTAAACAGATAGTGGAAATCCTGACAGCGTACGCCAGTGCTGTAGGAATAGGGACCACCCAAGTGTAGCAAGAGTAATGGGCAGTTTCATGTCATCAGGGATATATGAGGCAGGGGTCTAGGAACGAGCAGGTTGAGTACTGTTCTAAATGTTAACACCTGTTGCATTTATAATCCTTCCACTTGCTATCATGTCAGTGAACTCCAGAAGTACTTTCTTTGCAACTTGTGTAACATTTCCTGTTCTTCAGGTTTTACTGATCAGGCTTGTACGCCAATCAAAATAATGTTTGTGATCCCTACTACTATTGATTTTGCCCTTGGAGCAAGCTGAATAAAGCAACAAGATGAAAACTGAGTGCTTCATCATTTCTCGGCTTCTGTCGCGTCACAGCATATCTTGACTGTCTTGCAAAGTTCTTGATCATAACCAGCAGTATTTATTTACGTTACCTGACACATACATATATAAAATTGAAATTTTCTAAATCACAAAACTACATGTGGATGTTAAACTCATGTCAGAAAAATATTAAATCATCAAAATTGATTTCAAACCCTATGGTTGGGAAGATATGCTATCAATATTTTATAAGTCAGGGGCCCAAAACAAGTGACAGCAAAGCTAACATTTCTGTTAGCCTAGCACTGGGGAGTGTTCATACACGAGCTAACGATGCTGCACCAGAGTGACTTTAATACCAGGGAAGCCCCTTGGGGTGACACGGAGATCCACTCTGCATTTATGGGTCACCCAGCTGCCAAACTTGAGGGTTTAATTTAGTTGGCAATGCCATTTGCTGGTACACACCCTCTATCCAGGACTCGGAGTTGGCAGGACTTGAGTCCTTTGACTTATCACTGTGGCCTCTCAAGGTGTACACAACCAGGAGGCTGGAGGCAGGTGCTGAACCCTTGTACTCAATGCTGCTCAGCCCTTTGCTTGAATACTCTTAACAAGCAGCGGTGACCTCAGCTGTTCTGCCAAGCAATTATGTGCAATTTCTACCTGGTAGCCCTGGACTAAAGCAGCATCTCCAAGGTTTTTCATTCATTTTCCAGCCTCTAGGATAGTCTGGTCCACCAAGAAGTTTTATACATGGGTGATGGCAGTGAAGAAATGTACCAAGGCAGCAAAAGAATTGCTCATTACAAGGGGAAAAAAAGTAACATTGAAAGGCACACTTCTGGTTTTTATATATGAAATGGGAAACCCATTTACACAGCTTTATGAATGAAGAATGACAACCAGTTGGAGTAAGACACTGGTTTGTACTAGAGTAAGGCGATAAAACTGAGGGGAATAGCTGAGGCCCATCCAAAGTAGATCAGCTCAAATCAAATCAAAACACCACGAACCTTCATGGATATTAAGGCTAAATATACAAACGAGAAATAATGTGGACCCATACACTTCTCATTTTTTTCTAAAAAGGTCAAGGCATTTCTTTGCCCAGAGAAAGGTTTTGAACCATCTGTGCACAAAGTGGGAACCACCAAGGTGTCACCTACCTTGGAAGTCCATAGATTCACTCAGTCCAGATGCGTCCCGTGCTCAGCTGCACAGCCAGTGTGATGCTTCACTAAGGTTCTGCACCGGAAAACAAACAGCATGTGCCCAAGGCGAGAGCCGAGAATCTACGGGGATTGATGAATCAGAACAAGGGGTAAGGTGACAGAAAAGCAGCAGCCATTCACCCTGGGAGTTGTAAAAAGCAAGACATAAGAATTACTTGCAGGCCTGGCGTGATAACTCAGTGGTTAAAGCCTTACCTTGCAAGTTCTGGGATCCCCGTGGACACTGGTTTATTTCTCAGCTGCTCCACTTCCCATACCAGCTCCCTGCTTATGGCCTGAATGGTCCAAAAGCCTGAGGACACTGCACCTGTGTGGGAGACCAGCAGAAGCTCCTGGCTCCTGACTGGATCAGCTCTGGCAGTTGTGGCCATTTAGGAAGTAAACCAGTGGACGTAGCATCTTTTTCTTCATATCTTTCTAATAAAGATAAAACTTAGGATCTTTCATTTGCAAATTTGTTCTCATGTAGCAATATATATGAATGCTAAAAGACCTTTACAGTGGGAAACAGGAACCCAGTAACTAAGTTACACAGGATGTAAAACTGGGACTGAGTTGTGCAATGGAAAATGCAGATGGGCGTGTATGAATGCCTTGGTAAATACAGGACCCAGGTTACACTCAAGCAGCCTGTGGGTAAAGCCCTTCCCTGTGTGAAAAAGAAGTTCTTAGTGGGGTGGGTATCAGTTAAAGCTGGGGATGCCACCATCCCATCTAAGAGCATCAGGGTCTGGTTCCTGCCTAATTCCAGCTGCCTGTGGAATCTCAGGCACACACAAGTTAGGCTTTGGGAAGGGAACTAAGAAATTAAAATGTGTATTTGTGAAATAAAACAGATAGCTCATGCTGTGGTAATAAGATTTATTTATTTATTTATTTATTTAATTGGAAAGGCAAGGTTTACAGAAAAGCGGAGGCAAAATGGCCAGAGCTCAGCTGATCCAAACCCAGGAACCTAGAGCTTATATCCTGGTCTCCCACACGGGTACAGGGTCCCAAAGCTTAGTGCCATTCTTCTACTGCTTTCCCAGGCCACAAACAGGGAGCTGGATGGGAAGTGGAGCAGCTGGGACACAAGCTGGTGCACATATGTGATCCTGGCGCATTCAGGGCAAAGATTTAGACATTGAGCCATAGTGCCAGGCCCATGACAGCAACAGGTTAAGCCACTACCTGTGATGCCTATATTCCATATGCACACTGGTTTGAGTCCCAGCTGCTGCACATCCAGTCCAACTCTCAGCTAATGCATCTGGGAAAGCTCACACACCTGCACCTATGTGGGATGCCTAGAAGCAGCTCGGTCTCTGGCCGGACACAGCTCAATTGTGAGCCAGCACATAAAGATCCATCTATTTTCACTACCCTTCATAACACTTTTAAATAAATCTAATTTTTGCCTTTTAAATAAATCTTGTTCCTTTGACAATACCATTTTAAAATGTGAGATGATTTCTGTGACATCTACAACCTGGTTCCCTCCCTCCATGGCAACAAAGGCAGAGGCTGGGCCAGGCTCAGATCAGCAGCTTCTCAAGGTCTTCCGCGTGAGTGGCACGGGTGCCCCAGATTCAGGCTGTAACTGACGGCAATGCCGCCATGTAAGAAGACACTTCACAGAATCCGCATCACGACAATGAAAAGGCCAGTATTCACAAAAGGAGATTAAAACATGCTTGAGTGTGAAGAGTTGGCAAAGACTGCATTAAAACAGAAATGCATACACATGCAAATTAACGACAGCATTTATTTAGTCTTCATTTAGAAGCATTATTGTACGAACAAAATGCCAGTATTCATTCGAAGATAAAGTCTTTCACATGTCTATATTCCCCCACTGGGAGGCAGCTGCATGAAAACCACTGGAGCTCATCACTAACATCAAGGTTGGCCCAGCGTGCTGACAGAAGGCCTGCTCCAGCCCACAGGAGTGCAGGACTCATCCTGCAGCATCCGCAGGCCTTACCATGCCTCGGGAGGCCTCAGTGGTGGGGCTGCTGCTACCCAAAGGGTGCAGTCTGAGCGATGGTGCCTCTCCTTCACAGTAACCCTTTTCCAGACCCGTTGGGATCCTCCCCTCCGTATCAGTGTTTAGCAGTCCAGGCGCCGCGGTAAGGCTGATTCCCACTTTCACTTGCTCTCACTGGCATCACTGTCACTGTCACTGTCGCTGTCGCTGTCACTGCTGCTGTCACTGTCACTGCTGGGTGCAGTTAGACTGTCCAGGGCTTCCCTGTAAGGAAAAGAACAGCACAGTTACCCTGCAACAGGGCAGCTGGAGTTCTTGGTGACTGACACCAATTCTGAAGTTGGGCAAGAGGCCCCGCAGTGGCACTCGACAGTACTGGCGAACACAGGAAAGGAGTCCAACCATCAGGCCTAGAGGCCACGCGATCCGCAGAACAAGTGAAACCATCACTCAGTATGTCTTTCTGGTAAGGAACAACTGAGACACGGGGGATAAGAAGCTGCAAGTCTGTGGACAGGCAGCCCCCTTGTGATGCTGAGGGAGGTCCCACTTACTTTTGTTCCTGGGTGATTGCAAATTCAGTTGATACTCTCTGGGTGAGGCTCTCGCAGACAGGTAAGCTGAAGGCAGATGCCAGCTTCACCACTTCCACGGCCTGGGCAGCGCTGTTGGACGCTTTTGCACTGTCCATAAACTCGGTCAGCAAGTCGTTTCTGTAAAAGGGCAGCAATACAAGAGCAGTGCAGCTAAGCCCCTTAGAACTGTAAGCATAATCAAGTACGAGCACAAGTTCTGTAAGTCTGGGTCCTGCACTGTGTGGGAGACTCGGAAGAAGCTCCTGGCTTTGGATCAGACTGTTCTGGTCATTTCGGGGAGTGTCCCAGTACATGGAAGATCTTCCCTTCTCTGTAAATCTGCCTTTCCAATAAAAATAAATAAATCTTTAAAAAAACAAACAAACAAAACCCATGTCGTTACTGAGGACATACTCAGTGTATTCCCAAGGAATTATAATCACTGACATGCCGGAAGCTGCTCGCTGTCACAAGCCTGGTAGAGGCAGCTTGCCTAATGGAAGAGTGCCCACAGGCAGTGTCAGATCTGCCAAGAAATCCCAAACACCGTTCAGAGCTAAGGCTGGCCTATTACTAAATCCACAACGTACCAGGGCTTGCTAAATTTCAACTTACCTAGGAATCTTATTCTGCTTCTTGAAAATCCCCAACAATTTCCTATTAAAGATGAGACAGGGCAGTTTTAACTAGCAACAGAAAACAGAACGTACCCAGGCTACTGCAGCTGTCCCCATTCTGTCCCTAATTGCACTGTAGGTTCTACCTGCTCATAGCCCTGTGTGTACACCGGAAGCAGCTCAGGTGCACAACTCCTCACAGCTCTCAGAGGAAGGCCCTGGGTAAACCAGAGAAGAGCTGTTGGCTGGCTCCTCGTGGGCCTACACAACTGCAGTCTGTTGCCTGTCGGACAGCACTGCCTGGGCTTGGTGCTATGAAGAGTAGGCTCAGATTGCGGCAGTCTCCTACGAGCGCTCCTGCTCGCCCTGCCACATGCAGGTCAGAGGAGAAACACTCGCAGTCAGCTCCCATGACTCAGCTGAGGTCCGTACCCCTGCGCCAATCATCACAGCCTGACTCAGCACTGTGTGCCCATCTGCTAGAGCTGATACCTGGAAATGCCAGATGTGGCCACCATTAGCAGCACAGGTGATGGATATGAATTACACTTAAAATACACATTAGCAGGGAGCAGGATCAGAAGTGGAGCAAATGAGATTTGAACCAGCACTTATATGGGATGCCAGAACACTCCAAATTTCTTTCAAAAAGCTTTACTTCCAAATGCTAGTGACAACTGGGGTTGGGACAGGCCAAAGCCAGGAATCCACTCTTTTGCTGGGGTCTCCCTTTTGGGTGACAAGGACTCAAGTAACTGAGCCACGAACTGCTGCTTTCCAGAATACAATAACAGGAACATAGACTGGAAGCAGGCAGTAGTGCTTGGCTCCAACACCAGCACTCTGACACGGGACGCAAGTGTCCCAGCAGCACCTTGACTGCCACGCCCAAAGCTTGCACCTGAGCAACTCAGAAGATGGTTGAGGCAGCAAGTCTTTTCTTCTCCTGAAATTATTTTATTGTGTAAGAAGCCAGATAAGCAATTCCCTTATCCCCTGCTTAACTCACTGACTCTTCAGATTAACAAACTTTAAAATTGAGAGTTTGTTATTTAGATATTTGCACCTTCCCATCAAAAACTTGTGTATGGAGTGGATATTGTGGCACAGCAAGTTGAAAAGACATCATCATCCCAGTTTGGAGTCCTGGCTTGAATCCGGGCTGCTCTGCCTCCAACGCCATCTCCCAGTAAGACACTTGAGAAGGTGGGAGACGATGGCCAGAGTGCTGAATCCCTTCCACTCACGTAAGGGATCTGGATAAAGTTCCTGGCTCAGATTTGGTTGTTGTGGCCACTTGGTGAGAGACCCAGCACTTAAAAGCTCTCTCTGATGTTGTACCTTCTAATAAATAAATAATGTTTAAAAAGTAAACAAAAACATTACAGCATTCTAATGCAGCTCCTGATAAACCACACCGATATCACATATAAATTAGAGCACCTCTTCTCTGTCCTGGATAAAGGCTTAACACAATACTTCTCCGGTGTGCCACGCACTCACCAGGCTTCCTGGGTTCTCTCAGCCCTTAGAAACAGGAGAGCTACGCAGTTGAGAGAGACGGCAGTCCAGCCAGAAGCAGTCTGTCTGGCATTCTGGTTTTCATACGTGGACTGGATGTCCGCAGCGCAGTCAGCAAACGCCATCTGAAGCTGAGAGGCTCCGTGTTAGCACACCCGGCTGGGCAGCTGTGCCAAGATCCCTAACACTGAGCACCCAGTGTACCAGGTGACTCCCATGAAAACTACACACAAGCAATGAAGCAAAAACTCCACTCTATTGCGGGATGAACAGACTTGGAACCCTCAACCACAACCACGGTCTCCCCTTTAGAAGGAAGCGGCTCAGCAGCATGCTGTGTGCTCCGCACGGAGGAACACAGTGCCTGCAGGGACGGCCTGCCTACCTCGGGAGGGTGCTTGTCCCTGGCCATGAGCATCAGGATCTCCTCCTTCAGGTCATTGCGGAAAGTGTGACCATATTCTTTACAATCTTGAAATGGAAAGGAAATACAGGAGTCATCCCCACCATGGAAAATCAACACCCTGTTTGGCCGACTTCACATCACTGTTG